TTAAAAAACAAGTTTATAGAGCATGCATAGTTATGATGCTAGCCAAAAATTAAAAAGTATTTATTTATTTATTTAACATGATATTATTTAAAGTATATATACTTTTGTAATTAAAGCACAAAATTCGTCTGATAGCTTTATTGTAAGGTTCCTGATCTAATATACCTACCTCTATATAAAAAAACGTTAAAAAACCCAAATCGACAAAATAGTTTGAGCTTTGAGAAACAGTTTGGGTTAGAAACCTTACTTGATTGTCAGACCCATTTAATCATACGATTTTAATAATATCAAAAACTAATTTTCAATTTAATGATTTAGCGTAGCATATGCATTGCACTGTTTAGTATCTACTACTACCATTTAATTTATTTATTATTAGTATAATTTGCATTTGTATGATTGTAATTAAGAAAGAAAAATTCAGGTAAAATCAGAGTGCTAATTAGTTTGCAAGTATACGAATGATTCAAATTTATGTATCATGAAAGGAATATTACCAATTTGTCTGATCCACACACTCTACTAAAAACAATAATTATTATCAATGCTAAAATATTCAATGTCGATACTGTTGCCATCACTATCATCGTCTCATTTATCATTAGTACGATACATAAGCCGACGAATTAATTTTCGACGAAATGAACTGTCGACGAAATGAACTTTTGACAAAACAAACTTTCGACGAAATGGGTGTCGACGAAATGATTATCGACGAAGTAAACGGGACCGGTCATCTTCTAGTCAATTGATATGATTTTAACTCAAAATTTTAATATATAAATGTATAAATAAAACCATTAATAATCATTAATAAAATTTCTTTTCTTTTAACCTATATATATTACATATTAATAACATCTCCATCAGATCCTTGTAATGCATTAATAAATAAATACTTTTTAATTTAATCATTACACTTCTAAATATATATAAAAAATAGATGAAATAAAAATTAACGAAGCTAACCTTTAAAAATATTAAAAAAACCAAAGCCATTCTTGAAAAGAGTCTGTTACGCGAATTTGTTTTTGCTTGAAAATATTAAATAAATATCAATAAATTTTGTTTGATGCAATCTAGTGTTGGTTGCCAAAACTATTTTGAAGAAGCGAAAGTCAAAACTAAAATTAAAATTTATATGTCAAAACTAAATCAAAAGTCAAAGGTCA